TGCCATTTTTTAAATGTTAAAAGGAAACTCATTAAGCAAATATAAGACGTAATTACTATTTAATGTCCAATAGATATTCCAACCCACAAAAGAATATATTTTGTGAAAAATGCTTAATTATTTTAAAAAAATTGCAAGAAAAAATAAACAAAATAGGAGGAGGTGGATTCACAGAATGTGCATGTTAATATAAAGGCTTTAACTCAACAGAAAATAAATCACAAAAATTATTCATTATATTTCTGCTTTCCTTCTGATATAAGGTGCGCAATTCCCCAATAATTTACTTAAAGAAAACTATTTAGAAGTACTCTTACAGCCCTAATTGAAATCTTATGAAGTCTGATAAGCAAACTAATTACCATGTACAATTTTTCACACTCAACTAAAGTTTTTGTTTCAAATTATCCCATCTGTTCTGAAAGACATTTTTGTTGTATACTCTTTATATAGCATTTACATATTTTAGTGTTATCTTGCTTGAAAGGCCACAATTTTGAGAAATAAAGTTAATGAATATAAAATTTTGAAACCATTTTTGTATAGCTTCCAAAAATCCATAGCAAAAACCTTGATACAATTTAGCATAACAGCCTTTGAAACTTATTTGATAATAAAACAATTATCATACTCAATATTTTGAACTGAAATGAGTTGTAGGATTAGTATTGTAGATGTAGTCCCCTTTGCATTCCTTCCCTTTTTTATACTACATGAAATTCATGAAGCAAGTGGTTTTTCTATCATTGATAATTTTATTTTATAGCATTGTTAGAAAATGATTTCATGTATGTTTATGACTGATTTTCTCAATCCCACTTTGAGGTTGCATGTATATGAGTTGTTTGTAAACCTCTGGTAAAACAAGTTAAAAACAATTACCAAAATTTTAATGAAAAATAAAAATTAATACTCAATTTCTCATTTCTACATTAAGCAGAATAGATGAAATTATTAATTGAATCATTTATCAACAGAAATATTATTGTCTATTGTATTCTCATGACAGCAGGCTAGTATTTTGACCTATTTTCATTAACAACAATTTTCATCTTTCTAAATTGTATCAATAAAGTTTAAATTTGAGATATTGCGATGCTAAATTTATTAGAGATGCACTATTAGTTTCATTTTAAAAATTAATGATGAGATTTTAATTGTTTGCAGCAACATGGGGCATGTGTGTTTTCTTTTTTCACAAGATGATTATCCAAATCACAAAGCAAATTTACATACATTCTAATTTATAATATTCAATGAAAACTAGAGCATAATATTTCAGAATTTATAACAAATAAGGAATTTTAACATAATTACTGAATTTGAATGTCCTTAACTTGTGGAAGCATGGTAGAGAAAACGTATATGGGATTTCCTCCTATTTACTATCACAATTTGGGTAATGTTCTCCAAATTTAATTTGTAGTAAAAATGTATAATAGGTAATAAAAATTAAGTACAACAACAATAACAACAACAATAATAATAAAAATAATAATAATAATAATAATAATAATAATAATAATAATAATAATAACAACAACAACAATAACAATAACAACAACAAGTTACTGTCTAGTATTATTAATCTTGAAAGGAATGTGTGACCAGGAAATAGTTGCTCTAAGAAAATATTTCTTGAATGAAAGATTAGCACATGCAAAATGCGATATAAAGGAAGACCACCTTGGAATTCCAAAAAATTGAATAAAGACAAGGCAAAACGCTCCTTGGAAGAATCCAGGTTGCTGGTTAACATGGGTTGGACGAAAGAACGGAGGAACGGAAAGAAGGAAACGCTTGAGGATATGGTCAAGACAACGGAGGAAATGGTAGCAGCTTGCGACGCATCCATGCCTAGACGTATATGTCCGAAGAGGAAACAGCAAATGTATTGGTGGACACCAGAAATAGCCGAACTACGAAGGAACTGTAACAAGGCAAGAAGAATAGCGACAAGGGCCAAGACGAATCTGCACCTCAGGGAACAATATAAAGAACTGTCCAAACGGCTTAAGAGAGAAATAAAAAGAAGTAAAGGCAGATGCTGGAAAGAGCTGTTAGAACAGATAGATAACGACCCATGGGACATGACATAAAATAGTAAATAAGAAATTCAGGATGGACTGGCAGATACCTGGATTGAATGACCCACAATGGATGAGGAATACTATCAGGGACCTCTTTCCCACTAGAGATCCTTGGACGAGACAAAGACAGAGCGACTTTACGGTTGACGCAGCAGATTACTTCACGATAGACGAACTGAGGAGAGCGGCGAAAAGCATGAAAACTGGGAAGGCCCCAGGTTTAGATTGAATTCCCTGTGAAATACTGAAAATAGTGGCACAGGAATATCCGGAATACCTTTTGTCAATCTATAACCGCGGCCTTGAGGATGGGAAAGTCTTCAGGACGTGGAAGAGACAAAAGCGGATACTCCTCCGAATGGGCAACAAGCCGGTAGATCAGTCGTCATCATACAGACCACTGTGCCTCGACACCATGCTGCTTGCGGGTTTAATACTTTCTAGGCTTGAGGGACTCATGCTTTTCTCATAGGCAATATGGATTCCGGAGAGGCCGCTCGACGACGGATGCCATCCTGGAAGTAATCGATAAAACAGACGCAGCCAGAAGAGGAGTCGGCAAGAAGAAAGGATTCTGTGCGCTTGTAGCAATTGACATTAGAAACGCCGTCAACTCCGCTAGGTGGAAGGACATTATAGAAGTGTTAGTTAATAAGATGAATCCGGAATATCTCATAAGGCTTATTGAAGACTACCTCCATGAAAGAACGATAACGTATGTGGACAGTATCAGGAGAGAGGAGAATGTGACGTGCGGTGTTCCTCAAGGGTCCAGACTCAGGCCATTTTTATGGAATGTCCTGTATGATGACATTCTAAGTATTGACCTGCCGAAAGATACGCATCTCATAGGCTATGCTGACGATACACTAATAATCCACAGCGTTGACATTGAACTCCTCGAATTGAGAGTGAACGAAGCGCTGTTTAGGGTTAAAAGAAGGTTAGATAGACAACAGCTACAGATGGCCTTGAGGGTGGCAGTGTCTATTTACGCAGTGCTGGTATTAGCCTGTACACCACCTATCGACTTAATAGCCATGGAAAGAAAGAGGACGTACCTCGCCTTGAAGGAAGCACAAGCAGACAGCCATCTCCCTCCCAAGCAAATTGAGAGTGTTAAAGCAGAAGCAAGGAAGTTTCTCCTTGAAGAATGGCAAGAAAGATGGGTTGTGGGTTGGGGATGTGAAAGGCAGATGGACTCATCGGTTGATTACACACATCCAGAGATGGGTTAGCCGAAGTTCTGGGGAGGTGGGTTATTACTTGTCCCAGGCTCTTAAGGGACATGGGAGATTTAATAAATCCCTCTACGAGAGGCCCACGTGTAGTCTCTGCCACGCGTGTAGTCTCTGTCACATGTGATGCAGAACACACACTATTCCAGTGCAAGGCATGGGACGCGGAACGAGAGGTTTGTAATGCCAACCTCCAACAAGTTATAAATTCAGAGACCATGGTCGACATGATGCCGAGCTTGCAGGAGAAATGGAAAACCATAGAGAACTTCATAGTTAGTATTATGAAGAAGAAAAAATTAAGACAGAGGAAGTAGAGCATCTGCTACCAGCCAATCTCCTGCGTGAAGTAATGTCTAACGACGGTTTCCACGTGGGAGAGAATACGATTTAAGAGATGGAGGTTGGGTTTTTAGTCGGTAACCTAGTTGAGAGTCCGACATTACCAGCTTCACTGGTATCCATAAAAGATTTTCCTCTTCCTTAAAAATAATAATAATAATAATAATAATAATAATAATAATAATAATAATAATAATAATAATTTTCGATGAGAATAGTTTCATACAATATGTCACAGGTCAATCTGCTCCAGCCATACATTATTTTACAATTTATATACAGACATTACATTATTTTGAAAATACAATGAACTTAATTATTTATATTCGTATTGTCACACTTTTGTTTTCAATGGAAATATATTTATTATGCTTCGCGAAGAGTCTATAAAGTAATTTTAAGTAGACTTTGAAGGGTCCACCAGGTGAAATGTTATACTAATTGTGATTGTTGCCATTGGTTGCTACATCCTATGGCTGAATTTAAGTTCCTCTGATATTTTTTGTAGGAATATAGGCACACAGGGAGCTTGGAATCCAACAAAATGTGTATCGAAGATTAGAAAAAATCATAAGTTTGTGTTCCCAGAAGTCTTTTGAATTTTATGAATTCAACAATTGTTGCATTTCAGTTTCGCGGTTCTATATCTATCTTCATGTTTTAAATATTATGTCAGTAAATCCATTTATGTATTTTTCTTATTTATTACATCTACATCTCTGTTTATTTATCAAAAATGTTTTACTAAAAGAGGTCTGTATGGTGTGTAGTTTATTTAAAGGATTGAAAAGCAATCCGAACAGTGGCACAGAAAGTTACAGACTTCCTTGTAATAGATAGCTTTCTAATCTCTTAAGTCTAGGCTAGCTTTTCAGTTTTGCACCACTTTGTTCTCAGATGCCATCTAACCCTAGGTTTCTTTTCATAATTTCACCATTTTTTGAGTCCCTTAAGACAGAACTGAAATACGACTTTCAGAATATTGTAGAAGAAAAACCTGGTCCTACAATCAAATTTTCACTTAAAAATGGACCCATTTTGAGCAAAAGTCGCTTGAGCGTTTCTGAAAATGTGCAATTTTAAGCACATTTTCACAGAAAAAAATGTTCAATTTTTGAGAAACTTCATTGCACACCATTTGAACTTTTCTACTTAGAATTGCAATAATTGAAAAAATGATTACTGAGATGAGTTAATTCGAAGAGAATTTGTGGATCGTACTACGTAACTATTACTGTCGGCGAGAAAGTAGTGCTGGTTTAGCACTACTAGTTATCTACTGCGTAAGTGGTAGCGAGAAAGTAAAAGGTAAGTTACTGAGATTCAGCCTTTTACGCAACGGTAACAGCAGGTTACAGTATGTAGTATTTTCTCCGCGTTTTGCAATGACCACTCTGCGCCGAACAGACCACGTTTTGATTACATCAGTTTCTGTGTCGATTTGCTTGAGTACACGTGTACCTCAACGGCGCGAGACGAGAGGTGAGTGCGCTGAGCGAACGTGGGGTGGTCAGTGTGAAGCAAGCGTGGAGTAATGCAACGGTGTGGAGTTCAGCTCGTACGTACGTTGGCTGTCATTCACTGGTACTCTTTCTGAAAATTACGATTGAAGACGATATTTTTGACAGTCCACAGTGAAACTATTTTTTGTGCCATTGTTGCGAAATAGAGAATTAGGTGCTCATTGCTTTCTGTTCGACAATGCCTCGACGTAGAAATAATAGGGGGTTAGAACTAGGAGTTCTCTTATTGATATCCGAGATGATGAATGTTGGAATAACGACTATTCCTCGTGTTACATTCCTGACAATATTGGGGCAGGTAAATCATACTACATGCATGCACGTTTCTGGAACCTCTAATTTTCGATGCTTTTTGATTCTCTCTTTTTTGTGATTAGGTTCTCTTGTATATTGGAATTATCAAGCCACCTTGGGATAAATGGGATGTGTGCATTAGCTCAGAGAAAGTGCTAAATCACCGTGAATATAAACGACTAATTTTCTCAGTATTTGAACATGGAGATGATATGCATCTGTATTATAACATGATATCTTATATGGTAAAAGGGCGAACTCTTGAAAATCGATATGGGAGTTCCAACTATACTTTTTTCCTTGCTGTGATATCTCTTGCAACAAGTATCATGTACATATTTTTGGCAAAGTGTGGAGCATTTATATTTGATAATCCATTTTATTTACAACAATGTGCCATTGGTTTCTCAGGTAAGTTCAAGCTACAGAACGCACCTTGAAAGCATATCCGTAACAATAATAATAATAATAATAATAATAATAATAATAATAATAATAATAATAATAATAATAATATATTTGTCACAAATACAGCATAAGCCATGTATGACAAGTCAGGATGTGTACATATCATACAACATACAATACAGGTATTTCTAAAACTTGTATACAATTCAGAAATTAACGTTCAATTCAAAGTTTGTACTAAATACAATGTAATACAATGCTAATAAATTTTTATAAATGGTATTGTAAGAAGACTAAAATTGAAAAACAATACTAATAATATAATAAGAGAGAAAATAATTGTCTTATGAGATTGATGCCTGGCTGGGTTCTTCCTTTATATCCGACAGCCAGTTTGGGTGTTTCAAAATATGCAACAGAAAATGCAAAAATTATTAGTACTATTGATGTTGATACGTGTTTATGATGTATATATTTATTTGTACTGTAGAATGTATGGTTTATCAAGAAAGATTTCAGTTTATTTAGGATGTGTAAATTGAGTTTAAGCTTTTAAATTCACTAGGGAGATTGTTATGTAATGTAAAGCCTATAAGGGTATTTAATTGAAAGAGTATAGTTTCACTGTGTGGGACATGCAGATTTCTTTTTTGTCTAGTATCATTGTTATGAACTTCAGCTTTTAGAGTAACATCCTTATTTCCCTTTGGGAAGTTTAATATTTCAAATATGTATATGAATTGAAGTGGTAGGATTTATAATTTTTTGAACAGTGGTTTGTAGGACTCCTATATCATTTTTTGAGGTAAATTGTACTTTTAAAATGAATGTTCTTATTAGGGCTGTGATTTATATGCAAGAAAACAGAACTATACACATATGTATATAAATATATTTCATAGCACATGCAGTTATGAACTGAAAATATGCTAAAAATTATATTGGCAAAAAGAAGGTACAGAAATAGCTTACAAGCAAAACACAATAAATCAAGAGCTTAATTTTGAAGAAAATTTTACTTCGTAGGGAGTTACAATTAATGTACATTTCAGAAAATGCAGAAAACACTTCTTCAATAAAAATTCAATTTCTAGAAATCATTTAATGCAAACCACAAAAATCAAATAACTCAAAACTTGAAAACTCTAACATATTGAAATATACTGGAAGTTGTGGCCAATCTGACTGTGGGATGTGAATTATATATTAAGGGAATACTGATTATATTTTCAGTGTTACCATACATATGTACATACGTATTGTTGACATGAAATAGTACAGTATCCTTAGATACTCTGCTGAATGCAGCCTGTGCACAGACTTGAACTAGGCTAACTGAATTATATAATGTGTTTCTGGTGGATTAACATCTGTTTTTCCTTGCATATCATTTCACAAATACAGAGTAGAAAAATATAAAATACAAAATGACTAGAAAATTAGAAAAGGGAGAAAAGAAATCATGTGTAGAAATGTATTGCTTTTTTTCTTTAATCATATTAATGACAGTCTAATTGTCTGGGAAAACTTATTTTTATATAAACTTTAGAAACAATCATAATAGGCTACTTGAATGTGATTAAAAGTTAACCAAGGATATTTAATAAATATTATTTAATTTTAATAGTATCTACAAAGGCTTAAAGACGATTAAAATTAGATTACTGAATTATTTATTCAAAGTGCCATTACAAAGTTTCATTTGCCTTATGTGCATGGATCTTCATACAGACCTTTAGTTTTTGAGAACTACGATTACTTGCTATTTTAAATATAATGAAAAACGTGGCTGTGGAATATTAATTTTTTTTTCAAATATAATTTAAATGACACAACACAAATAAAACCAAAAAATTTCAATAGAAAATAATAATGCATGAAAAATGTTTATTACAAAACACGGGACAAAGAACAAGACAGAAGACGTTCTTGCCAAAATATAAAATAGAATGAATGCAAAATGTGGAAATAATAAATAGTCTTAAAAATCTTATAAAGATTGAAGAGTCTAATCTTCTGTCCTATCCCCAAAAGACATGTCATGTCAGATTGGGTAGACACTCATCAACACATGTCTCACGAGTTCTGTTATTAGAACTTCCTAAATGCAGCACTTAAGAAAGGGATAGGGATGGAGGAAGAGGGAGGGAAAATATTGTAGAGATAAAGAACTGATGATTGCGAAATGGTAAAACAATTGAGAAGAGGAAAACGTCAATAGAAAGTAAAATTTAAGAACAAACCAGTGTATGAAACAATAAAGCAAGAACAAGAAATAAGACTGGAAAAATATTACGTTTTAAAGAAGTAAAACTAGAAAACTTCTTTAATTGTTTGTCTATGATGGCAGGATTTTGAAAATCAAACTTGCAATATTTCAATCCAACAACCAGTAATGAAACTGTGTTGGCAGGCAATGTCCCTTATGTTATTCTGATGTTCTTCTAGCTGCTGTCTTAAGTGTTCATTTTGTATGTGTAGAGGAGAGTCATATGCAATGTGAGATACAGTAAATGTCATCATTTTCCAAAAATTTAACCAGTTCTTAACATTTTTAATTAAGTTTTGTTTTGTTGCAATCTTGCTTTCTGTCAATAACTAGTCTCATTTTATAGCCCCATTATCAGAAGAAACGTGGGATAAAGTAATGTTCAAAGATTTGTGGTTGTTGTTGTTATTATTGTTATTATTATTATTATTATTATTATTATTATTATTATTATTATTATTATCTTTATGCTTATGCTTATTTTTATAGTTTGTAATAATATTTTTGTCACTACCAGAGCCATCATCACATTATTCTCTTCACCTCTATTATCATCATTACTAAGAAATTTACGAGTAATGTAATTATTCTGATTTAGCCAATTAGTAGGTCATCGTAACTGTTGTCACAATGGCACCCATGCCTCCTTATAAAGGTTGGTAGATAAGCTTTCTCCTGATATACTAATGCACTTTTTCTAGGTTGGTAGAGTGAAATTTTATGTGATCGTCTTATAGCCCTGTCTTCAAGACCTTGAGTCAATGTGAGCTTTTTCGTATGTGGCAGCGGTGGATTCAGGGAACACATCCCCCACCACCACCACCACCACCACCACAACCACAAAAAAATAAAAACCAAGAGTTTTCATTTGTTACCGTCTTTCGTTTGCCAAAATTTTGGCAAGATTTTAATATTTATTATTGTTAGTGTGCGTATGTGCGCGCGCGTGTGTGTGCTCGCGCGTGTGTGTGTGTGGTCGCACGAGCGCGTGTGTGCTCGCGCGCGTGTGCGTGCGCGCGTGTGTGGTTTTAGAATGGAAATATCAATATAGCAAGTATCACAATATAGACAACCTTGCATAAAACGGGAACTTCCTTAGGGAATTCCTCCGGAATATATTTTTGTCCCGATTGATTCTGGCTTAGACAGATTTTGCTGTATCATATATACCCTACAAAAATAGTTAAAAAGTATGGACAAATATGTTTATTATTTAACAGACATCTATGATCCAATAATGTCTGGATCCTCCCGTGATGTGTGGGATGGTTAAAATAAAAGTCCTACCAATGTTTTTGTTCTACAAAAGTTGAGCATTCTATTGTAACGTATTAGCCAGCGTGCCCCGTGGCATCTATTTGGGGACGCTTGGTAAGGGATTAGTAAGAGGAAACTCCTCACCACAGGAGGGAGAAAAGGGTTTTTCCCTAAAGCAAGAACGCGGAAACGGTAGTCACGAGGCTTTGGGGGTCTTCTGGTCTTAAGAAACGGAGACCCAAACGAATGCCACCTAGGCACTAATATAAGGCCTGTCAACTGACACTGTGACGTCACATAGGTAGTCATCGCGATAAACAAATCTTTCGCCGATTGCTGTCAGTTAACGTTTACTTACCCTCTTGACCGCCTTAGTAACGATATTTTATAGAAAGGAATTTTCATAGCATTTTATTGTATTTCATTTAATTAACAGTTATTTTGTGACTAAAAAGAGATGAACGATTTTAAATTTTAAGTATAGCCATATTTAAAGTTATTGTGCATCTCAAGGTGCGCACTAAATGTGGCAATTAAATGATCCTATATGCATAACACCGTTTTCCATATTAGGAAAATTAATTTCTTGGTTATCTTGATTTAACCAGTTGTTTTTAAGCACTTAACGGGGTACACTGTCAAAAGAAAAAAAGTATTTTTGTGTGGAATCCGCATGGATATTCACAATGGATAATCACTTCAAAACCAATATCTTCAAGCCCTACAATAATGGTTTTGATGTAATGATTTAGCAACTCACCTGTCAATTTTCTGACCGGATATTTATAAACTACATATTTATATGATAAAATCATACTAGATTCCATGAACACACAAGCTGTTGATGAATTTGGCTTCAACAATATCATCTATTAAGTGTACCACACTTAATGTCCTTTTCATTCGACAAACTGAATTTCTTTCCTATGTACTACAACGCATACTCTGTTTTTCTTCACTCTCGAGGTTGAAAACAATTTCAGAGTAGAAGTGCACGGCAACTTCACATAACTAGAACTTGCAACGTTTTTACAATTTGTTACAAGTACTATGTATGTTGCTCTGCTACA